ATCTAGTTCTTCTGGTCTTGAGTCATGGAGGCTGAGGTCCTCATGGTCCATCTTATCTTCGGACTAATTGTTTGCAGATGACTTTGTTTGATCTTCTTCACCCTTTTTTGCTTCAGACTAGAGGACACCGATAGTTGCATCTTAGATGGCCACTCAAAAGTTCTTAAGACCCCAGTTGCTACTCACCAAATTAGGTTGTAGAACAAAATGTTTATGAACTGTGTGTGCCAGTTGAGCATGATGTCCCCTGAGACCATGGTCCTGAGCCCCCAAGTTATGTTAAAACCTACCTTTCTTTTCCCTTTTGAAAAAGAATCTTTTAAAGAGACCAATTTAAAAAAAAAAAAAAATCACGTTGGAGAGCATTGCTAAGTTACCTTTAATTGATGAATCAGAAACACAAATAATACAAATGATGTGTGTGCTCCTTTAAGAAAATTTGCATTTGAACACTTAATGTTGTATTTAAAACTCAAAATCATAAAAAAGACCAGGTGTGTGGGTCTGATAGAAACTCATGGAACCACCGAGATGGTGGCCCTTCGTCACTCTTCAAGCCTGGAACTGAACTCACCCCATTGGCTCAACTTTCAGTTAAGCAATAGACCTGTAACATGAATAGCAACACTTTAGAGGTACACATTCCTTAGAACAATTGGCCATATAAGATCAAAAGAGCAGCTTTTACCCAGGGATGAAACTCAGAAGGCAGAAAGGGATAGAAAATTAAGGACAAATGGAAACGAGAAACAGAGAGCAGAAGTGGGAAAAGTGATATTATATTGTAGGGATTGCAATCAGTGTCACAAAACAAAATGTGTATGAATTGTTGAATGGAAAACCAACTTGCTCTATAAATATTCACTCAAATCACAAAAAGTTTTTGAAAAATGGTATGTATTATGGCATAATGTTAAGTAAAATGTACATAAGATTGTATGTATGATATAATCAGGTAATGTATTAATATGCATAGGCAAAAAAAAAAAAAAAAAAGACCTGAAGAAAATAACAGTAAAGAAAATGTGACATTACACTGAAGGAAGTACAAACACATGGATAGTGGCATATTAATTCAGTATAATATGCAGCCATTAAAAAATAATAATGAAGAAAATAAATTTTGGGAGCTGTGTTAATTGAAAAAAGGCAAACTTGCAATGGTATGTGATTTGAACTGTTTGTTTATAGAATATTTTCATGCCCTTATATCTTGCCTGAAATTCCTATATATTTTTCATGCCTCATCTTCAGTACTGCTTTTCTGAGAAGACTTCCTTAATTCTCCAATTTTCTTAAGCCAGGCTCTTTTCTGTGTTCACCCTTTGGAGCTAGGATCTACTGCCATTTTAGTAGCTATTATGTTTTATAACTCTTAGGAGTGCTGTTGACTCTTAAGGCAGGGAATGTGTTCTTTTTACCCTTTTATCTCTACCCACCTGCCTGGTGGAGCTTAATAAATACTTAATGAAGGCCAATTCTAAGTGTAGAAATCGTACTGAGGTTTATACAAAGGAAAAAAAAAAGTTCCTAATTTCTAGTAAAACCAATAATCTAATGAGAAATGGAATAGAAATAGTCACACATAAACCGTAAAAATTGAAAACTGCAGGTAAAGTCCTCAATACCTAATTATAAAGTGTTAACAAGAGAAAATAACACCTGTTGTACATGCTCTGTGATTCATTTAACGGACCAAATACTGCTAAAGATAGATGTATCATTTGGCAGCATAAAGTACTGTAGTGTGATACTGTCTATTATAATATTGATAACTGGAAGTTCAGACCGTTTTCAGTATAAGCAACTATAATTCCAAAAATGTTTATTTGTATAACAAATATATCAGACTAACTGTTGCTCATTGGCACTAAATTATAATACTGTGTTAGAATATTGCTACATCTCCAAGAAAAAAAGATGGGATCTCTCAGAGCTCCTAGTACAGTGCCATTTACCTCACAGACACTCCAAAGATCTTCTTAAATTTAAAGCTTCATGTGAGGAAAATATTTGGAAGCTAGATTACTTTATAAGAAGTTTAATGTATTAAAATGAATTTATAATTTTAATATCAAATATATAGCAAATGAGTGTTTATCATGTTATTATGAGTTTGATTTTCTTTTCCCTTAGAGGCTTGGGTTTCTTTTCAAGTAGATTATGTATACAGTGTTTAAGCTAGGAACAGTTGCAACCTGGGAAGAAAAAAAAAAGTATGTGAAAAAAGAAAACAAAATCAAATCTAGCAGTACTTTCAATGTATTTATATAGCAGCTTGGAAGCAATTTCATAAAACTAAATTTTTATGTACTTAAAAATATGCAATAATTGAGTCTATTATTTCCCCTTTTGTACCAAATTTTATATTTTTATCTAGTGTAAATTACAGGGAAGAGACCTTGAGACCAGAAGAACTAGATGGTACCTAGTTACCAATGCCAACCACTCAGAAAGGGATCAAAATTGGAGATCTGGGATAGAATGCGAGAAAAAATGTGGAACAAAATTTTAAAAAAGCATTAAAAAGACCAGGTTTAGTGATCAGATAGAGACTGGTAAAACCCCTGAGACCTTGGCCCCAAGTCACCCTTCAGGCCTGAAATTCAACTCACTCCGGAAGAAAGATTGGGCAATCTACTTCTGTAGTGATACCACCCTGGGAACTCAAGGAGGGGTCGCTATGAGTCAGATCCGACTCTATGTCAGTGAGTTTTTGTGGTTTTTTTTCCCCCATGGCTTAACTCTCAGCCAGACAGCAGACAGGTCTACAGTCTGAACAACTACACCAGAGAGATGTGGTCCTTAGGAGACTCAACCATGGGAGATCAGAAGGGCAGCATTTGCACAGAGAGAAAGGTTAGGGAGGCAGGAATGTACAGGCAAGAAGGACACAGAAAATGTAGTCACAGAAAGGAAGTGGGAAGAGAGCTGTTACGCTGCAAGGAATGTAATCAGTGTCACAAAATAAAATGTATAAGAACAGTTGAATGTAAAACAAATCTGCTGTATAAAATTTCATCCAAATCACAATAAAAAGGTAAAAATAAATAAATTATAAGGAATAAAACAGAAGTAAACAGCTTTTAAAATTACATTATCACATTTATCTATTACAATCTTGATTGTGTAATTGGAGCTATGTTTCATTTAATTTTTCTGATTTTATTTTTACCAAGTAGTCATTTTTCTTGTATAATAAAAACTATTAATGAATAGCATGATTTCCCTATAGTTTTACTAGTAAATTTCCTGAAACATAGCAAAACAATCTATTTTGTTTACTTATTAAGCCCTTTGAGTTAGTGGTTCTTAATCATTTTTTGGGTCCAGGAATCTGATTTAAATTAAATATTCCCTCCATAAAAAGTGTCGTATATATTTGCAACTTTTAAATAGCATTTAATAGGTAATGTTTCCCCCTGAATCCAGACCTTTGGGTAATGAAACTGCTCTAAATTAATACCTTTTTAATAATATATATATATTTATATTTATATATGTGTTCAAAACATTGTGTGCTTTTGGAAGTGTCTAAAAGACCTTATCTTTTCTGCTCCACATACACACACACAATTTGCCATTGTATATTGTTGTTATCATTTGAATGATGTCTGTTCATGCCTGTAGACCCAGGGTTCTTAACCTAGAATCCATGAACCCCAGAATTCACAATGTCTGAGAATTTGAATAAGATAAAATATTACATATTTATTTTTATTAAATAAAAGTTTAGCTTTTCCTTCTATTATGTATTCAGGCAATAAACCACAATAGCATTGGCTGTACCTGTGACTTTTTCACCAGTATAAATCACTGTATTTTCATAATGCACTTGTTACAAAATCTCAGAATACATTATTTTCACTCATTAATACCTTAAAATGTATTAACCTCACCACTGTTGTTGTTGGGTGCTGCCAAGTCAGCTCCGACTCATAGTGACCCTATGTACAGCAGAACACTGCCTGGTGATGCATCATCCTCACAGTCATTGCTATGTTGGAGCTCATTATTGCAGCCACTGTGTCAGTACATCTTGCTTAAGGTCTCCTTCCTCTTTTTCACTGACCCTCTATTTTTTTTTTTTTTAAGAATTTGTTTTACATTCAACATTATGTGTACATTTAGTTTCACTCCCCATTTACCATCCCCAACCCTAACCCAGTCTCCTTCCCTCCTTGCCCAGTAACCCTCCTGCCCCCATGCCCCTCATAGTCATGCACTCCTGTATGTCCTGCATTTCCTCCATGCTAATGTTGTTCCTCTGGTGCCCCATGGTTGATTGCTCCAAGGGTTGCATTTCCATAGAGTATGTGGGTGCATCACCCTGGGTTGAGTGGTGTGTGTGTACATCTTATTTACTGTTGGGCTGTGAGTCAGCCCATAGGAGTGAGTTTTAATCCTTGGGGGTCTCACTAGACTCCATCCGACCATTAATTCTGGTCATTATTGAGATTTTGGATTTTCTTCCACATTTTTCCTCCCACTCTATCCAGGATCTCCAGATTTGATCCTTTCCTGAGTGATAGGCATGGTAGCCAGGCACCCTCTAGTTCTTCTGGTCTTGAGGGCCATCTTGTCCCAGGGCTGACTGCTTCCAAATGCCTTTTTTTTTTTTTTTTTGCACTCTTCACTTCTGACTCTAGGAGACTGTTAGGTCCGTCTTAGATAGCCACTTGAAAGCTTTTGAGACTGCAGTCGCTACTCACCAATGTAGGATGAGGAACAAGACTTTTAGGTATTTTGTTGTTCCAGTTGAGTCTGGTGTCCCCCAATACTGTGGTAAAAGACCTTATCCTTTTTAACTCTATAAAGCTGTTCTACAATACAGAAGCAGAATCTTTACATATTTCTGTAGCATTTTTCACATACAAACCTGAAATAATTTTTTTCTGAATTGTTTGAAATATTTACTGTATATACTATATTTTTCTCTCATCCTTATTTTTCTGACATTTGTCTTTTGACCATCAACAGATTTTCTTTTCTTATCCTAGATTCTGAAGAGGCTCGATCTGTAAATCCTTCCAGTGTTGATGACAATATTGACTCTGAAACAGAGAAAGACTCTCTCATCTGTGAAAGTAAACAAATAATTCCCAATAAAGCACCTCTTCCATCTGCCCTTGATGAGTATGAGTTCAAAGATGATGATGATGAAGAAATAAATAAAATGATTGATGATAGGCATATTCTTAGGAAAGATCTACGAAAAGAGAATGAATCTGAAATAGAAAAGAACAATTTATTTTCAAAACAGGAAAAAGCTTTCTATCCTAAATCATTTAAAAGTAAAAAACAGAAATCATCTAGAGTTTTGTATTCAAGTTCTGAAAGTTCAGATGAAGAAGTTCTTCAAAATAAAAAGATTTCTACTCCATGTTCTGTCCCTGAAACATCAAATTCTGACATACAGACCAAAAAGGAGTATGTGGCATCAAATGAACACAAGCAAAAAGGCAAAGTTAAAAGAAAATTAAAGAACCAGAACAAGAATAAAGAGAACCAAGAGCTGAAACAAGAAAAAGAGGGGAAAGAAAATACCAGAGTAACAAACTTGACAGTTAGCCCTGCATTAGATTGTTCAGAGAAGACCAGAGAGGAAGGGAATTTTAGGAAATCATTTAGCCCAAAAGATGATGCTTCATTACATTTATTTCATATTTCCACTGGAAAATCTCCTAAACATTCTTGTGGACTAAGTGAAAAGCAATCAACACCACTAAAACAAGAACATACTAAGACATGTTTGTCACCAGGAAGTTCTGAAATGTCATTGCAATCTGATCTTGTTCGATATGATAATACAGAATCTGAATTCTCACCAGAAAGCTCAAGTGTAAAATCTTACAAGCATAAGGAAAAAAGCAAACATCAGAAAGATTTCCACTTAGAATTTGGTGAAAAATCAAATAGCAAAGTAAAGGAAGAAGATCATAGTCCAACATTTGAAAATTCAGACTGCACACTGAAAAAAATGGATAAAGAGGGTAAAACATTGAAAAAACATAAATTGAAACATAGAGAAAAAGAGAAGCACAGAAAAGAAACTGAAGGTGAAAAAGAAAAATACAAAAGTAAGGATTGTGCTAAAGAGCTGCAGAGGAATGTGGAATTTGATAGAGAATTTTGGAAAGAGAATTTTTTTAAAAGTGATGAAACTGAGGATCTTTTTTTAAATATGGAACATGAGAGCCTAACCCTAGAAAGAAAATTAAAGTTGGAAAAAAATATAAAAGATGATAGATCAGCCAAGGAAAAGTATATCTCAAAAGAGAGAAATTTTAAGGAAGAACGGGAAAAGATTAAAAAAGAAAATGAGAAATCTTTTAGGGAAGAAAAAGTAAAAGATTTAAAAGAAGAGAGAGAAAGTGTATCCACAGATAGAGAAACAGAATTCAGTTCTTTGAGTATAAGTGCTAAAGAGGAACCTATAGAGTTACATTCAACAGAAAAGGAAATAGACATTGAAAAACAAGACAAGCATTTAAAGGAAAATAAGGAAAAGTTTGAGAAACGATTTCAAAGTAAAGAAAAGGACATTGAAAAAACTGACAAAAAACATTCTGAAAAAGAGAAGAAGATAAAACACGATCACAAGTCAGAGAAAGACAAATTAGATCTCAGTGAATGTGCCGATAGAATTAAAGAAAAGGACAAGCTATATTCACATCACACAGAGAAATGCCATAAAGAAGGTGAAAAGATAAAAAATATGACTTCCATTAAAAAAACTGATGATAGAAAGAAAAGTAGAGAAAAGATGGATAGGAAACATGACAAAGAAAAAACTGAAAAAGAGAGGTATCCTGCAGAAAGCAAAGAAAAGCATTTGATGGAGAAAAAAAATAAACAATCAGATAATAGTGAATACATGAAATCAGAAAAGGGCAAAAATAAGGAAAAAGATAAAGAGGTAGATAAAAGGGAAAAATCTAAAGATAAAGAAAGTGTAAATACAACTAACTCTAAACACTTACAGGAAGAGAAGAAGTCAAGTATAACAGAGAGTAGTAAAGCACAACATGAAAAATCCTTATCCCTTAAAGAAAAAACAAAAGATGAACCTTTGAAAACTCCAGATGGGAAAGAAAAAGATAAAAAAGATAAAGATATAGATAGATACAAAGAACGAGACAAACATAGGGATAAAATCCAAATAAATAGTTTACTCAAACTAAAATCTGAAGCAGATAAACCTAAACTTAAGTCTTTACCAGCATCAAAAGATTCTCGACCTAAAGAAAAGAGGTTAGTTAATGATGATTTAATGCAAACAAGTTTTGAAAGAATGCTAAGCCTTAAAGACCTAGAAATAGAACAGTGGCACAAAAAACATAAGGAAAAAATTAAGCAAAAAGAAAAGGAACGGTTGAGAAATCGTAACTGTTTAGAACTTAAATTAAAAGATAAAGACAAAGCAAAGCATTCACTAGCTGAATCCAAAAGTAAAGAACTTACTAGGTCAAAAAGTTCAGAGCTGACTGATGCTTATGCTAGGGAGAAGCAGTCTAAAGATGTTGTAAGTAACAGATCACAATCTCTTGACACCAAAAATTTAATGAATTTAGGGAAGTCATCCTTTGTTTCGGATACTAACTTAAATAGGTCTCCTAGATCAGAAAGTGAAAAACCAGGTCTCAGCTCCAGATCTGTATCCATGATTTCAGTTGCTAGCTCAGAAGATTCCTGCCATACTACGGTGACAACCCCGAGACCTCCAGTTGAGTATGACTCTGATTTTATGTTAGAAGGTTCAGATTCCCAAATGTCCTTTTCCCAGTCACCTTTTCTGCCAGTTGCCAAATCTCCCGCCCTTCATGAAAGGGAGTTGGATAGCCTGGCTGAACTGCCAGAGCGGATTAAACCAACATACACAAACAGATTTCCAACATCCCACCTCAGGTCATCTTCCGTAGAAGATGTTAAACTAGTTATAAATGAGGGTAGACCTACCGTAGAAGTTCGAAAATGTAGCATCCCATCTGTCGTTTGTGAACATGCAAAGCAATTCCAAACGTTATCAGAAGAAAGCAATCAAGGTAACTTACTAGCTGGGCTGAGAGATACTTGCCTTTCTCCCAAACCTGACATAGCCTCCAATGTGCCTGAAAGAGACCTTTCAAATATGTCTAACATACAATCCAGTTTTGCAGTGTCTCCAACTAGGGCTGTAAGCAGCAAATATATTCCAGCTGATATCAAAATTACTGCTCCAATAAACACTTTATTGGAAAGTCCTGGGCAGTTACAGCTGTCTAATCAGATTGGTGTGATCCAGAATAAATCATGGGAGCTACCTGCTGACAGACTGGAGTCATTAAGCACCAATGACTTTACCTGCCTAAATTCTAATGCCCCTGATCAAGATTCCTTTGGTCAGGGTTTCTGTAATTCTGAAAACAAAATACTGAAAGAACAAAATACTGATTTTTCATCTCTACACCAGTCCGAACTGACAGGAAATTCTTGTGCTCAGGACCCAGCATCCTTTATGCCTTCACAACCACCTTGCTCTTTCCACAGCCAATCACTTTCAGATGCAGAATCTACTTCTAAACATATGTCTTTGTCATATGTTGGCAATCAAGAACCAAGTATTTTACAACAAAAAAATTCAGTTCAAATGAACAGTTCTGTTTTAGATACTGATAGAGACTCTGCAAAAGAAATGGAAAATACTTTTGTCCCAGCAGATGTTCCAAAGACAGATGCCTTTGCCTCAGTATACTCTGAAAGCACCTTTCAAGAAGCAGCACCAGCTTTTGAGAAGGCTAATACTTTACCTGTATTACCATCAGAAAAGGACTTTAATGGAAATGATGCATCTTCCCAGTTAAATACACATTATGCATTTAGCAAACTAATGTATAAATCTTCCAGTTGCCTTGAGGTTGAAAATAGCACAACTGATACTGAAATTATTTCACATGAGAAAGGTAACAAGCTGGAGAGTTTCATTTTAACTCATTTGAATGATAAGTGTTCTGATTTATGTGAAATGAATGCAAGGATGCCAAAAGAAAACCTAAATGAACAAGATCATCCAAAGCATTGTCCTGAAAGTGAAAAGTGTTTGCTTTCCATTGAAGATGAAGAATCTGAACAAAACATTTTATCAAATCTGGAAAGCCATTCACAACAATCAGTTCCACCAGAAATCCATAAATATAGTCAGTTCATTAAAGTAGAAATAGGAGAAAATGCTGAAGATGAAAAAACTGAAAACCAGACTCCTCAAAGAGTGACTAGAAACAGAACAAATACAATGGCAAATCAAAGCAAACAGTTCCTTGCTGGCTGTGCACTGTTGTCGGAAAAAGACAATGAATCTTCATCTCCCAGAGGAAGAATAAGACTAACTGAAGAAGAGGATCCTCAAGTTCACCATCCACGGAAAAGGAAAGTGTCTCGTGTTCCTCAGCCTGTACAAGTGAATCCCTTTTTACTACAAGCCAAAGAGAAAACTCAGCAATCTCTGGCAGCCATCGTAGATTCTCTGAAATTAGATGAGATTCAGCCATACAGTTCAGAGAGAGCAAATCCATATTTTGAATACTTGCACATAAGAAAAAAAATTGAAGAAAAGCGTAAATTGTTGTGTAGTGTTATTCCTCAGGCACCTCAGTATTATGATGAATATGTGACATTTAATGGATCTTACCTCCTGGATGGCAATCCCTTAAGCAAGATTTGTATTCCCACAGTAAGTAACATCAAAACTTGATACAGTATGCAATGCTGTCCAGTAGAAATAAGATACAAGCCACATACTTTGATTGAAATTTTCTAGTAGCCATATTTTAAAAAGTAAGATGTGAAATTAATTCTGATACATTTTAGTTACTATATATCATTTCAACATAAAATCAATATTAAAAAATCATTAGGATATTTTGCTTTTTTTTTTTTTTTTTTTCCAAATGTCTTCAGGATCTGGTGTGCTTAGATAACACATTTCAATTTCAGACTATCGAATTTCAAGTGCTCCATAGCCTTTTGTGGCTAGAGGCAGCTGCCTTATTGGACAGTACAAGTCTACATTATTTTCTTTTCTTTAATTGTTTTTCCTTTTGTTTCAAAGGAGGTATTTTGATTTATTTGAAGGCTAATGACTTCACATGTACTTTTGAGCCTATTCCTTCCAATCTCTATGGAACCTTCCTCTATTAAAACACTGATCCTGCTAGTATATATATTTTTTTTTTTTTTTTCAGTTTTCCCTCTCTACTTGGCCTTTATTCACCTACTCAGAATATATTCAGGTTTCTTCCATCCTTGGGAGGAGGAAAATACTCCTTTTCTGTGCCAGACTATCAAGCTACCACCCTGTCTTCAGTCGCATTCTTGAACAGTAGTCTGCACCAGAAATTTTCTCATTTCCACTTTGATCCATAACCATTATGCAGTGCTTATGCACCTCTTTTCATTTTTCTTTCTACTTGATCTTAACATTTGACATTGTGACCTCTTTGTTCTTAAAATTCTCCCCTCCTGCTTACTTCAGTGACTAACCTTTTTCTACCTTTTTTGATGACTCTTCTACCCATCCTTTAAATACCAGGGATCCACACTCTTCAGTTGACTTTTTGCTCTATGTGCTCTGCTAATGTAGGCTTATCCATATCCATGGTTTTAGCAGTCTTCATGTGCCAGTTCCTCCCCAGATGTTCTTACCTAGCAACATCATCTCTGCTAAGCTCTAGTACCTAAGCATGGATACCTCCTAGGCATCTTCCAGCACCTTACTCATGAGTTGAGTTCTCCAGGAAGTAAACTGATTGGTATGCAAGAGGTTTATAGGTAATATCAGGAACAATACCTGTAAGTGTGAGGGGAGCAGACTGGACAGAGTGAGACAATGAACTGAGATACAGTTGCAACAGTGATCACAGCTGAATCCATAGAGCTGTGGATTGGGATGATCCTTCACATAGGTAGGGTCCTCTCAGGAAGGGAGCATGACCTTGGGCAGCCAGCTCTCCTCCCTTAAAGACAATTCATAGAGAGGGACTCCAGCCAGATGTGTCAGCCACCAACACTAAACAGTTGGAATAGCTTGGGAGTGAGTGCCTCATTTCTGAATAGGATGTCTGATCATGCACTATAGCATCCACTACACACCTCAAATTTGCTATGTACCAGAAAGAGTAACTTACCCCTCATTCTCTCAAAGGAAATTAAAAAAAAAAGAAAAAGAGCCCTGTGTTATAAATGAAAAAAGATGCTGTGGTTAAAGCACTCGGCTGCTAACCAAAAGGTCTACAGTTCAAACCTACCAGGCACCAGGAGAAAGATGTGGCAGTCTGCTTCTGTAAAGATTATATAGCCTTGCAGATGATATTTCTACATATGTATTTGTATGTGCTGTATGAATATCTACATACATAATAGAGCTAACAAGGGGCAAAGTTATGACAACTTCTTAGGCACAGCCAGCCACCCTGAGGGAGCAAGTAGTGGACCTGTGGGCTAAGGACCATGATTGCAGGGTACATCAAGCTCAAGTGGCATAACATACTACATAAAAATACTGTTCTATATCCTACTTTGGGAGCTCTGGTAGCATAGTGGCTAAGGCACTTGACTGCTAACCAGACGGCTGGCGGTTCAAACCCACTAGCCACTCCTCGGAAGGAAGGTTGGGCAATCCTACTTCCATAGTGATACTCCCTTGGAAACCCAAGGAGGGGTCGCTATGAGTCAGGTCTGACTCGACGGCACATAACAACAACAACAACATATCCTACTTTGATGAGTAGCAACTACAGGTCTTAAAAGATTGCAGGTGGCCATCTAGATGCAAATGGGTCTCTCCTCATCTAGGGCAAAGATGAAGAAAACCAAAGACACACAGAAACAAGTAGTCCAAGGGACTAGTAGACTATGCAGACCTTAGCCTGTATGACCATGAGGCCAGAAGAACTAGGTAGTGCCGGGCTACCACTGTCAGCCATTTGGGAAGGGATTGATTAGTACAGGAGATCCTGGATCGAGTGGGAGAAACGTGGAACAAAACTCAAATTTATAATTTAGAAAAGACCAGGTTTTCTGGTTTGATAGAGCCTGATGAGACCCCCAAGACTATGGGCCCCTAGTGACCCTTTGGGACTGGAATTGAACTCACTCTTGTGGCTTCCAGCCAAACAATAGACAAGCAAATAGGGTGAACATTTACATCACATAGATACATGCCTTAGAGCTGTCAATCATGGGAAAACAGAAGAGCAGTGTCTGTGCAGGGAAAGAGCTCAGGGGAAAAGAATGCACAGAAAAGAAGGACACAGGGAAGAGGTAACAACTACAAGGAGGAAATGGGAAGAGAGCTGGTACATTGGGGGAAATTGCAGTTAATGTCTTGAAACAAAATGTGTATGAGCAACTGTGTGGAAAATGAATTTGCTTTGTAAATTTTTACCTAAATCACAATAAAAATTAGAAAAGCATTACAGCCTGGGAACTTATGGGGCAGTTCAATTCTGCCCTGTAGGGTTGCTATGAGTTGGAATTGACTTCATAGCAATGGTTTTGGTTAATTAATAATGACCCCAAAGTAGAAACCCAGTTACCAAATTGTTAACCATTCTTTCTGAGGAATCTCTCCAAGTCTGTACCCTTTATTACTGCTTTGGTTTAAGGTCCTGGTCATTCTCTCTCAGATTATCACAGGTTTGGTTTGGTTTGGTTTTTCCTTCCAGTCTCTTTTTGCCTGAGTGTGCTGTTTTGTTGTTAAATTTATATCCCTTACAAACAATTAAAAGCCATTTCCTTGTTTAAATGCCTCAGCTGTGACTAGCTGTCTTCTGTTACCTGCAGTTTAAAATCTAAGCCTTAAGCATGACATAACCATATATTTCACAGTCTGACCCTTACCTACCTTTCCAGCTTCATATCTTCGGAGTTCACCCAGTATGTTAGCAAAACTGAACTTACTATTTCTTGTTCACTACTTTTGATACATTTGCAATGCTGTTCCCTCTTCCTGAAGTGGTGTCCTTTCCAAGTTCCCCTCTCTATCATTTTCCATGTCTTAGTCTTAGCTGTGACATTAACTTCTGTGAAATCTGGTCAAAGCAGAGTTGCTTATGTCTTCCTCTTACCTTCCTAGATATCATCATTAACTGTATATAATTTTCCAGTCTGGAAACCCAAGATTGAACCTTTGCCTTTTCTTCCCTCTGCCTTCACATCTGCCAGTTCATTAGATCAAAGAAATATCTCACATCCTGTCCAGGTTTCCTTATTACCAGTGCCGTGCAAGGATCTCATTAGCTCCTTAGTCCAGTCGCTAAAAAACATGAATGCCTGATAAGAATGGTGCTAGAAATTAGACATCAGAGATGAGCAAAATAAACATTCTGAGTCTCTTCTCTCCTCTTAGTCTAGCCTTCTTATTGTACAGAATCAATCTTATATGTCTCGCACCTAATAATGCTGAGGAACTCCCAGTTTTCTATTGATAAGTCCCAGTTCCTTGTCATTGCACACAAGGTCATCCCATAGTTTCCTAGGCTAGTTAAGTACTGCCCTTACTTGTACACTAGTTTATACCAGAACCCTTTAAAGCATAATAAAAATTGAAGTTTTTACAGTTATTTTATCCAACTCAAAGTGACTTTAAGGTTCATATTAACTAGAGCTATTACATGAATCTCAGCCTTTTGCTCATAAAAAGCTGTACTTTTCAGTTTACTGGACTGAAACTTGTTTGTTCAAACTAATAGTTTAAAAAAACATAGAGACTAGAATAACAGACACTGCTTTCACTCTACATTATTTTTTGTTCTTTCTAGTATGTTTTTTCCATTAGTTTCTTCTCACCCAGGTAATTGCCATTTTATTGTAACTTTTTCTCACATATTTATGTGACATATTTATAAAACTCATTTAGAAATACGATAAAGCATTCCCAAAGTCAGTTTAACAGTTTATTCTTCCATCATATATTTTTCTCATAATTTAGTAGAATGCTGCCATTTTTCCAAAGAAAATCAAGGGAAGAAAAGAAAAAATTACAAGTCAAGTTTCCAAAAGTGTAAAGAAGAAGGGAGAGAAAGCAGAAAAAGAGACTTGTCACAATCTGATGTTCCACCAATGGTCTCTGGCGACAACAGAAACAAACCCTAGTGAGGGATTCCAGATTCAGGTGGTGAGGGGATAGTACATCACTTGAAATCTGGGGGGGGGGGGGGGGTGTTAACTTTTCTGTTCTAGAAGTTAATGAGATTCACAGATACTGAAAGACAACATCTCAAGTGTGATTTATTTAAATGTAAATGAGAACAAACCCCAAAGGAAAACACAGCAAAGGAAAAGTTTTCTCAGGAAAACTTCATGTATTTGAGTGATTGCACCTCCCCCTTATAGATTGATAATTTCCAGATTTATATATTCAGCCCAAAGCTCTTTCCTCAGGTTCGTTTTTTGTTGTTTGGTTGTTTTTTTTTTTTTTTTAATTTGTTGTTGAGAATATACACAGCAGAGCATACCCCATCAATTTCTACATGCTCCATAGCCTTTTTTACATTGATTATATTCTTCAAGTTAAGCAACTGTTCTCACCCTCCTATTCTGAACTGTTACTCACTGATAAAAGCTCACTGCCCCTGTTTCCTATCTGATCTTTGAGTTTCATCCCATATAGAGCTCTGGTAGCATAATGCCTAAGGCATCTGATTGCTAACCAGAAGGTTGGTGGTTCAAACC